CCCCCCCTTCGTTTCAGAATATTAACAAAGGTTTGCTACTATACTACTTTTAAGTACATTCTGTTGCCAAGCAGAACAGGGATGAGAAGGTTTTGAGACCAAGAAGTGAAAAGAAAGGGGGTGGGGAGACAGGAAAATTAGTTGGAGAGAGAGAGAATATGAGAAAAGTGTGGAAAGAAGGAGAGAAATGAAAGAAAAGAGGGGGAAAGGTTATTTTAACTTGCTGCAACACCCTAACTACTGGTTCGCAAGATCTGGCTGAGCTGAGTGCAAGGAAAGGAAGAGAAAAAAGTTAGACTATTGTAGAAAATGACCTTGGTTAGCAGGCTGCAGGCCGACAGTTAGTGTAGCAGCCATCAGCCATGGTTGCTTGTCTTGCTCCATTGCTGGATTAGTTTATGGGTTTAGCATGATCTGTTAGGCAAGTTTACTTCAGTCTTGGAGAAAGGGAAGTCTAGCCAACAGTAGAGTGCCATTTTGCAATGCTTAGACATCCCTGCACTCATAGTGGTTGCAGCCAGAACTGCACTAAAATAAATGGAAAGACATTCAGCTGGATGCAGCATGATGCTGGCTTCAAGGGCCCTCCAGCTGACCTGGGCCCAAGGTTCCCTCTAAGCTGTGGAGTCCTGTGAGCAAAAATTCTACTTTGTGAGCTACTTGCATTAAAGTTGTGAGCGAGCGATTTGGCTCCTGCATAAATTAGTGTGCTCTGGAGCCCTCCTTCCTGAGCTAAGGCAAAAATGTGTGAGCCGGAGGGTAAAAAGCTGTGAGCTAGCTCATACTAACTCAGTTTAGAGGGAACACCTCTTGGGCCCCCTAAATTTTGTCCCCCAAGTCCCTCTCTGTCAGTGGCCCTGTTCATGATCCACACAGTCAAAAGTTTTGCTGTATTCTATGAAACACAAGCTTCTGGGGGGCGGGATACAGTGCGGCGAGATGGACGCGTCCTAGGCTTGCTCCTTGGACCGCCAGCTTCTTTGATCTCTAGAACGGGGTCTACGATTTTAAAGAAACATGGAGCAGAACGTCAAACTGGAGAAATAAATTTAGAGACAGAAGAGGAGGGGGAAGAATAAGATCTCCCTCAAGGAGCTTCAGGAACTTCAGCAACAATTCAGAAAGCCCCTAGCAAATCCAGATATCCAAAGACTACCTCTGCTGTTACAAGGAAACAAGCAAGAGAAAACCTGGATGTACAAACACAGAATCAAGATGGATAAATGGAAAACAGGAATTATTTCCATAAATGTTAATGGATTAAATTCATCCCAGAAAAGAAAACATGTACAAAATGTTTTATAGATGGTATATTACTCCTGAGAAATTCTGATCAACAAACAACATTATCTTATCAATTTCTAAAAGGTTTTCATAAAATGCCAAAGAGAGAGCTGGCTTTGGACTCTTTATTATAGAGGAGCGATGTTGTCTTGGATTAAAGACTGGATTACATTGGAAAACCAAAGACTATTGAAACTAGAAGGGCATGATCTGTTATTGGGGTGGCATGCTTTTCTATGGTATGGGAAAGTCGACTCTCACAAATACTTTAAACAACATTGGGTGAGAGCTTCTTTAATGAAAGTCTGGGAGCCAATTAGAAAACAGTTTTATCATAAGATTTCCAAATCGGTGGCTCCCTTAGAAGCATTTACAAATCCGAAGACATATCAAGAAGAACCAATAAAAAGGTATCAAGATTTATTAGACTGTAAATTGAATTTGAAACCATTGTTGGAATTAAACTGGTGGTAAAGAGTTCAAACTGAATCAACTTTTGGGATACTTTCAAATCCTTTGTGAGAGGATGGATGATAAAGGAAGCAGCATACAGGAAAAAGCAGAGACTAGAAAAATATTGCCAACTCCAAAAACAAATAAAAGAACAAGAAGAAAAAATAAAACAAGATTTGTAAAGCAAACAGAGCAAGATTAAACTTAAATTATTGCAACATCAAATGAATTGTCTTTTAACTCTAGAAATAGCAAAGAGTTATTTTCAAAGTTATTTTGAAAATGCAAACAAACCGACTAGGTGGTTATTTATTTATTTATTTTCATCGCATTTATACCCCGCCCTTCCCGCGAACAGGCTCAGGGCAGCTTACAAGAGCACAAAGTGCATATATATAGTATACAGTATATAAAATAAATAAAAACAGTTAAAAATCAATACTATCAGGATGCATGGAAGAGAAGAGAAAACTCCCACATTTTGCATCGCAGAGAAGACTAGGGCCACAGTTGGATGTTTCAAGGTTTTCCGGCGGTAACACTTTCTGGAGAAACGGTGGTGATAGTGACAGTGGCGGCTCCTGCTCATATGCCTGGCGAAAGAGCTCTGTCTTACAGGCCCTGCGGAACTGCAAAATGTCCCGCAGGGCCCTGATCTCCTCTGGGAGCTCATTCAACCAGATAGGAGCCGCCACTGAGAAAGACCTGGCCCTTGTTGCTGCAAGCCTGGCCTCTTTGCAATACTTCATGGATCCAAGCCCAGTATTTTTTTGCTTTATCACACAACCACCACATATGATAAAAGGAACCTACTTTATTTTGACATTTCCAGCAACTATTTGAACATTTCGAGTCAAATTTAGCCAGTTTCTCTTTGTGTCTCCATGCAAATTGTTGGAACACTGCATTTAGACTTCTGATTGTATTTCTGTCACCTTTTACTTTTGCTTCTATCCCAAATATTCCAACAATACCTGATTCCAGTTTGTTTCCTACTTTTGCATTCTGGTCTTACATGTTATTTAGGTGTGAGATCAATTTCTTCCTGAACACTTCCACGAACGTTTTCAATTTCTTCCTCTTCAGCATCTGTAGCTGGGGCATAAACTTGAATGATGATTATGTTGATAGGCTTTCCATGAAGTCTGATTATTTGGTCAAACTGAATTAGGGCCCCTGATAGCTTGTGCTACATCTTGCCTTACTATCAGAGCAGCTCTGTTTCTTCTTTGTTTCTTCTTTGTTTGTCATTTCCCAAGTAAAACACTTTGTAATCTTCTGATTGAAAATGTCTTAATCCTATCTACTTAAATTCATTCTCTCTCAGGATTATAATGTTTAAAGGTTCTATTTTCCATTGTACGATCTTGATGTTACCTTGATTCATAGTTCTACTGTTCCAATTATACATGTAGAACAACTCTGGACTTTCCTTTTGCATCCATTCACTGCAATAACTGAACGTCCTTTCAACTTTAATCTAGTTGCATCATTTAAAATACTGCTACTCATACTTGTACTCAGCTCTTTCCCAGTAGCTAATGGAGTGTTATACAACCTGGGGGAACTGTCTTCTATCACTTTATCTTTTTCCCCCCGTTTTGGATTGTCTCATCATAGGATTTTCAAAGTAAGAGATTATCAGATGTGCCTTTACCATTGATTTCTTCTGCACAGTACTAACCAGGGTTAGATAAAGTGGTGCTGCCATTGTTTGTGATAGATCCTCTGCCAGTGTCACCTTCCAATACTAGGGTTGCCAAGTCCATCTTCCACCCCCAGCGGGGGACTTTGGGGGTGTTCCTGGAGGGGGCGGGGCATCCCCGATGTGATGACATCACGTTGGGGACATCCACCGCCTCCCCCCCCCGCCCATGCACTGGATCTCCAGAAACGCCAGTTCCCTGCACTTAAAGGAGACGGCGTTTCCCTTTTAAGTGCAGGAGCCGGCTTTCCCCTTTAAGAGCAAAGAGTCGTGTTTCCCTTTTAAGTGCACGAAGCTGGCATTTCCCTGCAAGCCTGATCTCAAGCGGAGATTGGGCTTGGGAGGAAACACGGGTTCCATTCCACCCACTAAAAGGCAGCCACCCCTCTCTATCAAGAGAGAAGGGAAAGGGGTGGCTGTGGGTGTTGGGGGCAGGTAGAACCCTCCCCCAAAAATGGGGGACCCCTGGCAAACCAGGCGGTTGGCAACCCTATCCAATACTGCTGCTGCCCAGTAGCTACTCTTCAAGGATTCCTCTGCCCCCATCACCATTCAAACTGCCCATTCTCTTCTGCTGATGTGGCCACTGGTTCCTGAAGGGGGTGGATGAATCTTAGTCTGACGTCACAGCTGTGACATTTCTGCATTGAGTGACTTTCTAGGAGTTTAGCCTCTTGACAGAGACAGAGTCTAAACTCCTTACAGCCAAGCAGTTGCCTGGAGGAAGCCCACAAGCAAGGCATTAAGTCAGTAGCCCCTCCTGCTGTTGCCCTTTCTGGTAACTGGATTCAGAGACATAGTGCCTCTGAAAAGGAAGTTTCATTTAGCTATTGTGGCTAACAGCTATTACTAGACTTACCATGAACACCTAATTCTCTTTAAGAATATCAAAGCTAGTGGCCATCTATTGGGCAGTGGCTCAGAGGTTAAGACACTGAAGCTGCAGGCTGGAAGGTCTGTAGCTTGGCAGTTCGAGACCCTAGTGCCGCGTGACAGAGTGAGCTCCCTTCTCTGGCTCCAGCTCCTGCCAACCTAGCAGTTCAAAAGCAAGAAACTGCAAGTAGATAAATAGGTACTGCTTCGGTAGGAAGGTAACAGCGTTCCATGCACCTCGACGTTTAGTCATGCCAGCCACATGACCACAGAGAAGTCTTCGGACAGCGCTGGCTCTTTGGCTTGGAAAAGGAGATGAAAACCGCCCCTAGTGTCAGATTTGACTAGCTTTTAAGCAAGGGAAAACTTTACCTTTACCTTTAAATAACTGTAGTGTTATAATAATCTATTGCAACAACATACTAGTTCCCAGGTTTCATTTGTTTTTGTTTATAAAAATATTAGGCTTTTTAGGGGAAATGTACTGCATACACCTTTCCCCTTATAACTCTGCAATTAAAAGAGCTAGAGACTTTTAAAAATGAAGCTGAAAACTGCAAGATCATGGCAATAGATCACTATAGTACTACAGCAATCTAGCAATACCCTATTCTTAAAAAGCCCTATAGTACAAAAGGGGAAATGGAGACCTCAGAGATCTGGGACAAGGAAAATGTGGATAGATCCACCACATGGAAGCCCCCCATTGCTGTTGCACAGAACCAGCAGCCACAGCAGCAATGTGGAAGTGTCAGAAAATTATCTGTCTATGGAAAACTCCAAAGAGAACTTTTTGGGGCCTGCCCTCAAGTTTACTCCTGTATCCTAACCCTATTACACTGCTTACTGGATGTCCCATCCTGTTGACTGAATTGACTTACACTGCCTAATCCATCTTGTGTCTCAGTGAAAAAGGTGGACTATAAACAACATAAATAGATTTAATTACTTTTGTCCCAAATCTTATACCTGAAAACTGAAATGTTCAAGGTTCTAATGAAATGTTTGAAAAAATATCAATTACACCTCCCACTCCCCAAATACCTTCATTCTTAATCAAGGGTCTTTTCCTAGAAAAAGAGCTGCAGGAGTTCATTAACATATGGTATGCTAATGAGCTACTAGGCTATTAGCATAATAGCTCATTAGCATATGCAACGCCACCTGACATCACCAGAAGTGATGTCAGAAGGGGAAGCAAAAGGGGGGGAAGGCATATTCAGAAGCCTCCCCTTCCCTTCCCCGGGGGGGGAGCAAAGAGAGAAGGGGTTTAAAGTTTAAACCCCTTCTCATTAGAGTTGGGCCGCAGAAGGAGGAAAGAGGGAAGGAAAGAGAGAAAGAGTAGAAAGAAGAAAAGAAGGAAGGAAAGAGGGAAAGAAAGAGAAGGAAGGAAAGAAAGAAAGAGAGAAGGGAAGAAGGAGGGAAA